GGGGGGGAGGGGGGGTTGTAGAACAAACAAACTCAGCTCTGCCCCACAGGGGGAAATTCCACCACCAACTGGAGCTAACAGCCCTCCTCAGACCAACGCAGGCTTCGCCCCCAGACTTAGAAGGCGTCTAAGTTGCCCCTCTCCAAAGGCAACTTCTTGTCCTTTTTCTTTCCTGTCAATAACCACCCCAGCACTCCACCAACTAGAGTCCCAGTCTTCTAATTCCTTCTGCCTGCCCAGCCCCCTCCAGCCCGGCGCCCGACAGCTGCCAGCCTGCGGTCTCTCCTGCACCTTCCTCCCCTCCAGTCTCTCCATGCCCGTCCGCCTGCCCGCCCGCCTGCCCGTCCTCCCTTCCTGAATTCTGCAACTCAGAGGCAGCCTGCAGCCTCCCCCAGCACATATCCCCCTGCCCGGGCGGAGACAGAGGTCACCTATGGCCATTTGTAGGCCCCACCTACAGTACCTACAGGACTGTGAAGAGAGGCCAGGAGGCCAGTGGACGTGACCTGGTGGGGGCAGGCAAGAGTATTAGGGGAGGGGGAGGGGACTCAGCGCACTGGCGTGGGCACTTAGCATGGAGTTAGGCTCATTTACAGTCTTTTCTCTCGTAGCCTCAAGTCTCCCTAAGGCTGCAAACCCGACTCAGTTTTAAAGCCTTCCATGTATCAGCTCGTTAGATCACACAACTCGAGGGGCTTCTGTCACCTGCATTTCACTGGGGCCATTAAGCAGCACACCCGAGGACCCTAGCTGGAACTAAGGTCTCCAGGCTGGGGGGTGGGGGATGGGGATGTGGGTGCCCTGGGCTCCTCGCCCAGACATGAGGGGCCGGGACTCAGATCTGGCTAGACTCAATCATGCCTGTCCTGGACTGTCTGTGTCTCCTGTCAGTGTCTCCATCTCTCCCCTGGGGAGCCCGCTCCTTGTATGTGTTCTGCAAGATGAGTAGTGGCTGGTGCCCAAAATCAAGCCTGGGGGGTTCCCTACCGTGGTTCACAAGCACAGGAAGGCAGGGACATGGCACTTCTGATCCCCACAGAAGCACAATCCACTGTTCCTACAGGTCTCCTGCAGCCTTATCATTTGTTTGCAGCCAAAAAGCCACAGTGATACTTTAGAAAAGTATCTCAAGTAATAACCTGCCACTTTTTTTTTTAAGATTTATTTATTTACGCATACAGAACTGGGGTACAGGCAAGAGGTGGTAAGAGGATTCACCAGAGACAGAGCGGGGAGCAGAACAGGCAGATGGAGGAAGTACACTGCTGAGGGGAGCAACGGGTGGGTCAGGAGAGGTCTGCCTCGCCATGGGGGTCACCTCCCCGGCCAGGAGCCGGACAGGCACTGGCTGTGGCTAGCTTGCAATGTTGTGCCTTTACCCATCGTGCAACCATGGAGGGCCCTAACCTGCCACTTGTAACCTACCACAAATAATAACCACCACCAGGCTTCCCTCCTTCTAAGTGCCCTTCGCCATGGCACCTCTCCTGCCAGGCAGCCACCACAAAAGGCCAGCCCTGGCTCTGGCCCTGCACTAACTCTTCTTTTGGGGGGACATTCTTTCACTGGAGACTGTATTGGATACAAATCAGAGCTCAAGGTCATCTTCCTTCAGCATCCCATCAACTTTTATAACCTCAGGTAGCATTCTCCCACAATCTTTTTATGAGTAAGTCCACATAACATTTATAATGACCTAATATTTAGGTGCTTTATCTATGTTTTGATTGCCCGTGCAGAACTATAAGAATAATGCTAGTAATAAGCCAAAACAATAATAGCAGGTAGTACTTTTTGCTGCCGATTTTATATGTGTTTTGTGGCTAGTTTTTTCCATACGAATACAATGCACCTTACGAGAAGCTTGTGGAAGAAGTACCTCTGTTACAATAGTTTTTCATATGAAAACACTGAAGTACTGTGACATCCATCCGATTTCAAAACTCAAGTTTTAATGACAGTGCCTTTTTTTTTTTAGATTATAACATGCCTTCCACCAGAACACACTACTCATGGCTGCAAAACAGGAGGAGGCGCTGTTCCCCCTGTCATCCTCTACTCATGGATCCAGAGAGGGGCTGCCAGCTTCCCCTTTTCCCATTGCCAGCCAGAATCCGTTTCTGTTCTTTACAATCAACATCCCTGGTCTGTACACCTGCAAGGTATTCTGGTATTCAGGCACGTAGCAGGGAGGTGCATCCTCCACACATCAGTGGACCAGAGGATACAACCTGAGGTGAGGCAAAGCCTTCTGGTCTGATGGCTGGGCCCTACCTGGCTACTTCAAACTATCTTCACTCCTTCGTTTTGACAGGAAATATTCTTGATGTGCAACATTTTATGAATCATCACCTACAGACTATTCTCTCTTTTCTCACTCCTTGATCTATTCCTAATTGTTTCTGGGGTCGGGGGGTGGGCGGGGGTCTGGCTAGACAGAGTTCCCTGCTTTTCTCTTTGGACCTGCACCCTGGGGACAGCAGACAGAGCTCGGGCTCCGCTCAGCACAGTCGCCTCGTGGTCCACTTACCTCCTCTGAAAGTGGTCAAACTCGGCCTGCCGCCGGGCCCTCACCGCAGGGAGGTCGCTGTGGCTGTAGGCTGCCTGAAAGTGACAGCTCTGCCATCTGGCAATTCCACAGTCACACTGATTTTTCGGGAAGAGCCTACAACAAATGAGAGGTCTGTAAACAAAGAGTAGCGGGGCGGGCTGCTGGAAGAGAGGGAATCGGAGGTCAAGCCCAGTGTGCAGCTCACCTGAGAATCCCCTTTCCCATGCCTGCCTGTCTCCCTGGGGTGACACCCTGAAATCCCGGCAGTCAACCTCCCCCAGACACAGGGAAGGGCAGGAAAAGCAAACAAGGTCCCCTCTGGAATTATGTCCTGCACCAAACTTCTGGAATGCCGGTAGCATTTCAGCTCCATTGGGAGAGGAGGCCAGTAGAAGAGCAGGCAGCATGGGTCTCTGTCAAGGTCCTGGTCAAACAGGACGTATGGCCTTAGGGGACCTTGCTGGTGTTGTAGAGGACAGACAGTGCCCTGCGGCCCAGCCCTTTCCTGGTCGTAAAGTTTAGAGTCACATCAGTGGTCAGCACAGCTTATGAGGTGACCTCGGAGGCACAGGAGAAGCAGGGATGAGCTCACCAGACCCCGTCGTAGGTGAAGAGGTCCCTGAGACGGCCTTCAGGCAGAAGCTTCGGTATCTGGACAGTTGGCACAGAAAGTGGTTGCTGTGGCTTGAGACCACTGGACTCCCCGTGAAGGTACTCGCTTCCCAACATAAATAAAGCAAGGCCAAGCCCCAAGGTGAAGACTGACACCTTGAGGAGCCAACATGTAGCGCTGGGGACACAAAAGGAGAAAATCCACTAAAACTGTCTCCCTATGACTCTGCCCGTGCCTCTCGCTTTCTTTCTCTTTTCCTAACAAAGCTGTCCTTTTAAAGCATATATTTAAAACAAGTGACTTGAAGGAAAATACAAGCAAACATGTTTT